TGAACATGATTTAACAGCAGAAATTGTTAAAACAAGTCTGATGATGATTTATGGACTAAAACACATGGTTCCTATCTATGACATCACAATCCTGGGGAACATCAAATGGAGTGTTTTGAGACAAAAGATTCAGGATTTTACAGTCCCTTTAAAATGAAACCCAAAGATATACTAGTACAGACTGGTATGACTGTGACTGTGTTTGCATAGTAGGACCTTATCTTTTCCTTTTCCCAGCTGCAGTGTTTCGAAGGATTCTTGGTATTGTTACTGAGTTGTACTGTGTACCCGTATAACAAGTGCTCATCTTTATCCAAGCGCAGCCAGACGTCAGAATGTTTATAGAAAACACATGGCCTGGAATCTGTAGCATCCAACAGAACTACTATGTGTGAGCTACTGTTCTCTGTCTCTGCTGCTCTCAGTCTGAACTACTCCACATGGGCCTCCTCTGTAGAGTTTCACAAGAAATTATTATGAGCTTCAAACAATGTTAGAATGTCATTACCTCCTCAAAACTCCAAAACTTCCCAGAGTAATGTTTTGTTTCATTCACACATATTTGTGTAACCCCTTATTATTAGGCTGTCTACATCTCCAAAGCTCAAAATGCTCTGTTCCAACTTGTTGTTTTCAAGTTAACAGCTTCCTTTTACTTTTAGTTCAGTAGAGAATCAAGCCAATCCAGAATTGAAATCATACAAATGACTCAAGTGAAAGTGTATGGTGTTTACAGTGGAGACAATTGCTGCCAGCTTCAAACACAGTGGAGCACTTCCTGTATTACCACATGACATCACAAGGTGGAAAAGACTCTTTTCAGTTTGAGAGAAGAACTCAGCCTAAATTTTCAAGATTTCTGTAGTAAGTGTGAATTAAGCAAAACAAAATAGCAGGTATGTTTGTGATGACGAAACAACATTATAACAGAGATAGCATAATAGATAGCATAATATTGCCCCCTTAAAAAGATTAAATGCGCCAGAAATGTAAAAAAAAAAAAAAATATTAGTTTGTTCTAAAAAGTTTGCAGTAGTCCAACTGACTTTTCATCAGCCTTTGATACCATGAATCCTCATACACTTGCACCAAAGGTTTCCTAAGCGTTCTAAAAGTTGTTGTCTGGTCAAGTGGTTCCACTCTTTACCACTCAAGTAAGGGTAAACAGCTCTTTGTCAATAGCAAAAACATGAAACACAGGAGTTCCCCAAGGAGCTGTACGTTCCCCCACTCTGTTTACACTATATATACACCAATGGTTGGAGGAGTACTATGTTATAAATATCTTGCCTTAGAGTTTCAGTTTTAGTCTCATAAAGTCTATCTTGATGTCTATTTTTAAAAGAACTTAAAAAGAAAGAAGATTTTTTTTTTTTTCCATAGATAATAAACAACAAAGGCTTTATCTATCTTCAGTGTTTGGGATCGTTTCTATCTGATGCTTCAATACACAGTGTAGTGTCTAGGAAAATGTAGCTCGGAGCCAGACTCTTGGTCAGGTTAATCGAGGAAAACCAGTTCTGCAGGGATAACGTAAGATTATTTTCAGCTAAAATTGTAACAGCGATTTCACTAATCATTGGTTACACAGAAATATCCTTTTGTGGCATAGCACAAGCACATAATCAAATAATGTGTGTTTTGGTATTCAGCACTTCCTGACAAACCCAAAGCAATAAGTACACAATAGAGAAAGTACAAAAGAGTCATTTGTATTGAATTCAGCTAAAATAGTGCAAATGATAAAAACGTGAAATGATGACATGGAAAGTTACGCCCTTGCACCGCAATGTTACTTCACTATACCAAATAGAAATTAAAGTAGAAATGGTATCATCAACACGGTCTAGTAAAGGAATTTGAGATGGAAAATAACATTTGTTGAAAATTGAAATGTTAGAATAATATGTCAAGTGCTATACACACAAAGTTATTCTAGGATCCTGAATACACAGTTCTCCAATACAATGAGATTTTGGTTTTGAGTGGATTAGTCAATCAGGGACATACATGGTCAGTCTGTATCAAAATAAATAAAGCTACAAGGGAAAAAAGAAATTAAAAATATATCAAGGGACTGAAAAACATGGAATTTCAGTAGAATCAATGAGCACTAAATCACTTTCAACCAGTCTGAAGTGAGAAGAATGTCATTTAGTTTGTAATATAGGTGACCAATGAGCCGAGGTGGAACGTAACAAAGTAAAAGTAGTACTCTGCTTAAGTATACAGTTGAGTCTGTACAGTCTGTACTTTACTTAAGTAGATTTTAAAATGGATAGTTTTATTTTTAATTCACTACAATGGAGAGCAGGCATCTGTACTTTCTACTCCACTACAAAAAGAAAAAAAAATCTATTCTAACTCTAGCTATTCAATTGTTTCTGTTGAACAAAATTTAGCAGTAATCTGTATCAAAATCTCTACATTTTCAGCAAAATCACGAAATCTATTCAAAATATTTTTACTTTTTACTCATTTTAGTACATTTTTAAACGGTTACTTTAATACTTTTACTTAAGTAGATTTTTTCTTGTGATACTTTTACTTGAGTATTTTTTTGCTCCTGTTTCTGTACTTTTACTCAAGTTGGGAGTGGAGACCAAACTGAGTAAAAAAAAAAGAAGAAAGAAACCGAGATCTGGACTTCATTCTCATTCTAGACAGGCAACAAAGTTATATTAGGTATGTCTATGAGTTCTTCAACCAGGTAAAATGGATGAAGAGTCTTGCCCAAGGACACAATGACAGTATGCAAGTAGTTAGCGGGAGAACTCCTAGACATTTTTTTTTTGCAATAGTAGGAAACTTTTATTATTTATTTACTGGTTAATTATTTATTTAATAACATCTATGACTCATTAAAGATACAAACTAAATACAAAAATATTTAATTGTGCTTTTTATTTATTCATTGCAGCTCATGTTTTTTTTTTTTTTTTTTTTGTTTTTTTTGTTTTTTTTTTTTAGCAATATCATACATTTAGAATAGTTTTTGTGGTTTAAATTTGCTCTTGGGTTGTTGTGTCAGTGGCATAAATGAGTTTCAGTATTATTGTTTATATTTACTTAAGCAATAAGCAATATACCGCAATTTGTTATAGTGACAGGCCTACAAACTCCTCAAGCAACTGAGCTACAGCCGCTCCAAAATGACTGATGGTTACTGGTTCAAAATATGAATTATCCTGTCTCATATTTTGGCTTATATGTGAGTGATTGCTTTACCACTGTGCTGCGGTAACCCAATGCCTTTTCATAAGACACAGTGTCCAAATATTAACACACAGAATGACTTCTTAATCTGCACATGGGACCAAACCACATCCTAGGTCAGTCCATCTATTTCACAGTGATTTATGAGCAGGCAGTGCACGGGGCAGCCTCAGGAGGGACCCCAGCAGAGAGCGAAAACAGAATGTGACTTTGACCGACCACACAGACGCTCTCCAGACTCCAGTGAGCAGAAAGTCATTATAAAACACAAAGCCAGACAGACAGGGCTGAATTCAGTGTAGCTGCACTGACAGAGAATGGAGAACAACTATAGAACTCATACAGGAAGATATAATTTTTTCCATCTGATTGTACAGAAAAAAAAATCTTCCTATATGATTGGTTTGAGTTTGCCTTAAAGGAACTGTATGTAGGCTGTGCTCTTATGGCCTCAGTAATCAATAAAGGTTGCATGTGATTTACCAATGATTTTGGGAATTGCACAACACTGATATATAAATAATTGTGGTGTAACAATATCCAAGTCTCACGATACGATATTGTCATTGTATGAACCTCATAGTAAGATACTTTTTGCAATATCGTGGGAAACCTCACGATATGGTGGGGAGGCTCACAATATTACGATATTATACATAATAACACGACTGACATTATAAAATGCTTTGACCAGTCATTTGGTACAATATTTATTGTCATATTCATATCAATGACATTTTGAACAGCTTGAAAAGCCTTTGAAGTGGAAGTGCAAAATTCACATAACAACTCAGTTAGGGATCTCACAGAGTAAGTCTGACAGAAGCTGACCGCATCAGCGCACAAGGAGCTAGCTGTTTTTTTCTTGTTTATGCAAATTAGCCATGCGGCTTTAAGTTTCATTTCCATAAAACATAAACAAATATATATTTGAGTCCTTCTTGTAGGAATTTAAAAAAAAGACAAACTTAAATGCGATGGCATTTTATATTTTGGTTCAAATTTACCCCCTAACCTCGTCCACTGTGGAAAATAGATGAAAATCACTCGCTATATATTCTGCCGCTGCGTCCACAACTGGCGCAGTGGCTGATGACGACTGCAAAGGATTATGGTCCATGCAGTTAATTGTGCTATGTGCCACAGGAGAGGACTCAAAATTCTTATTTTTGCCTGAAGATACAAAGTTTAATACCGTGACTAGACCACAATGATATTGGCAATTTTACTACAATGATATCACATAAAACATATATAACATAAAATTACTTGTGTTTGTTTGAAACATGGTTGTAGTGCTGGTATCCTTTATTACACTACTCTGGTCAATGAGCAGACTGCAACAGCCACGGTCCATTAACTTGTGTTGTTTGGCCTTTCTACGGAGGCACATGTTTAGAGCGCGCCCATTGAATTAAAAATCTAAATCTCATTATACAGTTCCTTTTAAGGGGGGCATGCAGAGACATTCTAATCTTACTCATTCTAAAACACAGCTAGTGATCATCAATAAAAAATGTCATACAAACGTAAATATTTTGGGGGGGGGGGGGCTTGACACAAAAATGCTGTTCATTAGGGGTGGGACGAGATAGAATTTTCACGAGAACAAGACAAGATTTTGAAAGAATTTGCGGGTGACTTAGATGTGGCACAAGTTCTCGTCCTATCTCTACTATTCATCATTTCAGTTAGTTATTAGTTTCGTTGCATGTCACACATTTGATGTTGCTCCAAAACATCCCTTTCATGTAACAGTATCTCACGATGAACGAGGCACTCACAGTTTTGCTGACGTATCCTGTGGAGATGTTGCGACATTGCTTGTCCTCTGAGTGGCAGCATCCTCCACACCTGAACACGGACACGCACGGGGGTTTGTAGAAGAGATTTGTGGGAGCCCCAAACTCTCGTGCCACATCCACACACACCTCTCGCGGGACACACTGGGTCTTCCTCCACTCTGACTCGATACCTGCACAGACACAAGGGAACAAAGATGTGAGGGGGGAGCTAACTTCTCGAAAACAAATTGACAGGAAATGGTGAGTGAGATTTGAAGTTCCAAACCCCCAGTTAAAGAGCAAAAACACTTCTTCTTCTAACACACAAAAATAAAGTTTAAGGTTTCTTTATTACACGAAATTGACTCTTGTGAGCTTTAAAACTTATAAGCTTGTGTTTTGTTTCATTCACACCTTAGTGGAATCCTTTATTATTAGTCTGTCTACATCTCAAAAGCTCAAAATGTTCTGCACCACCTTGTGATGTCATGTGGTAGCTTTCAAGTTAACAGTTACTTTTTACCTTTTGGTCTGGAGAGTTTGGTATGTATGGACACAGAAGAGTGCTTCCTGTATTGCCACAAACATCACAAGATGGAAGAGAGTGTTTTCAGTTTGAGAGAAGAACTCGGCCTAAATATGCAGGGTTTGTGTGTTATAAATGAAACCAACACAACTCTGAGTATTTGTTGATGAGGAAAAAACATTATAACAGAAAATAGCATAAAATGAGCCCTTTAAGATTAAGTTTGGTGTGTCATTTTATTTGCACAATCTTCTTTTGAATGTAAAGGTCTTACTTTTGAGCAGGTCCAGGTTGAGGTAGGCTGCAGCGTACTTGGGCTCATCTGTCTGAGGCCTGGATCTTCGCATCTGGGCCTGGAGTTTGGCGTTTGACCCAGCGGCAGACAGCTTGGACCTGCATTTGAGCGCCGCCCAGAAGGAAGGGTACATCAGACTCATCAGCTCATCCACCGTGGACGCTGAACGCAACCTCTGCTCCATGTCCAGCTGTGGAGGGCTGTCCTGGGAAGAGACAGGGAGGGAAGGACACTTATGGTTATTGATACTTTGCAGTGATATGACAGGAGGTGGCTTCACAGTGGCCATGGTGACACAACAAACACACTAAATGAGAAGAGCCTCAGATCCCACACTTCACAAGTCTGAGAACAGTCAGGAGGCTTCAGATCATGTAGACAGGACAGATCTTGTGTTCATTTGAAGGGTTGAATAAAACCACATAAAACTTTGTGAAGCATTCTCCCATGTCCCCCACACCACAAACTGACACACACACATGTTGTGGAGTCAACTGTAGTAGTCCGAGAGTTGAAGATCAAAGGCATGACACTAGAGTGTTAAAGCAGAAGTTCATTAACCATCAGTACAGGGCCCAGAACTCAGAGACAGTGTTGTCTATTCCTGTCTAGTCCATTCAGCCTATGCTTGCATTGTAGGGAGTGTTATATCTCTGATGACATAGGCCAAAATAACAAGGACTGAGCTGGCAATGAGTGCCTTCAGCATACCATAGAAATGGAAATTCTCTGCCATCACCAGAGCAAAGAATGTAGAGCTCACAATGAAGTTAGGTGCCTTGACATGATTTAACACATACATGATGTAGAGCATGGAAAGTGTCTGGGGTGAAGGAAGTCTGGGAGTCCCTGCTTAGATCTGCAAAAGCAGAAGAAAATGGATGGAGGACGGAAACCTGACCGAAGATCAACTGCCCCCATCGGAACCCAATAGGCTTAGTCGGACTCTGACAAATATTTAGAACTTATGTTAGGGCTCGGGTCAGACTCAGACACATCAGCGCGTTAAGACATTTGAAATGTAAAATTAAAAACATCTTAAGGCCACCACACAATACAGGATTTTTCGGTCTTGAATAATGAACAATACAGACACGGGGAGAATCTTATGAGACTTAATGGCTGCGGACCACAGGCTATAAAATTGTGAGCACGATCGCGTCTGCTATTTTCTGTAAAACCACTTGCTTTGAGACTCTTAAGTATTCAGACATCAGAGCACTGCACTTTTAATTTAGGTACAAGTCAAAACTGTGTTATTATTATTTGTGAAATGTGGTGCAATACCTCAGATACATGATTTTTAAAGCATAAAAGATTGGCAATAAAACACACAGGAAGTACAGTCACTATCGCTAATGTGCGCTGCATGGATCGAGGTGTGGAACCTCACACACGTGAATCTTTTTATTTTTAAAGAATGCTTCAAACCGGATTAACAGTGCAGTTTTGTGGACAGTTGTCATTATTTGCAGAGGACAGTTTCAATGGATAAGATGGATGAGAGGCTGCTCTTTAAATGTACCTCTTTACGAGGAAGGAATAAAGTCCTCTCATTATTTTCCCTATATTCCGAGTTTGTATTTTGCGTCTCTAACCATGTACCAGTTTGGGTCCATTAGAGGCCACACAAACAATATACTATGTGTGTCATTAGTAGGCCTATGAAAATAGTGTGATCTCTCTCAGACACAATATCGTAATGCCTATAAGGCTCGGTTCAGATTCGATCACGGCTCTGTTGGATGAGTGCCAGTCTCGGATAGAAAATATCAGCCATCACCGATCTACACTCTAATATGATGATATGAAGTAGATAGACGAGAAGTAGAAAGAGGGGGAGGAACGCTGCTGAACTGCATGGCAACACGTTTCAATCAATGAATATATTGGGTCCAATCAGCTGTGAGTCCGCTATCCCCTCAGGTGTTAAACTGCACTGCATTTCCCATCATACCTTTAGCCTTTGTAGTTCATGAAGTGGGTGATGGTGTCTGCAGTTTTCACTTTTGATCTCGCAACATTCCTGGTGCCTATGTGCATTCAACTTTCTGATTGATCATACAGTACATCTCTGACTTCACACAGGCTCAGAAACCTGCACAGATCAAACACAGGACTGTACATTTGGCCTGAGGTCCAAACATGGTTTTAAACTGAAATAGTAGCTCTTTGTGGAGTGAGCTTTGGCTGAGAGCTTGTGATGACAGGGCAAACTGCTCCAGGTTTGGCTCTAGTTAAGAAAGCAATCGGACAAACTCTACACCTGCCTGCACCTATAAGCTCCCACTGGACTGTCAACATCACGTAAACACACAGCACCCAAGGGAGAAGCTCTGACGTGTGGAAATGAGAAGAGAAAGAGGAGTAAAAAGAAGGAGAAAGGTAAAGGAAAAGGGTAGGGCCTGGAGGAAAGGGGGGATGGAGAGAGAAAGGGAGGAATAAGAGGGAAGGGAAATAACATTTTACTCCATACACAATATTGTAAAAGCAGCTTTTTGCAAGATAAAAAGTAGACTTAAAAATATAAATAAAAGATATGCTGTTGGATGCAAATTAAAATAAGAAACTGCCAAGGACCAACAGTTTCATCCAATCAGAGCTGTTGTTGGATGGACAGATGGACTTTTTTTCAAAGAGGGGATATTATGCTTTCTTTTATCTTTTCCTCATCAAAAACATGCCCGAAGAGGTTTTGAATATCATGCATGCATTAATTTACTGATCTCCCTGCGTGAACCCTCTTTATGATTAGCTGTAATATTCTGTTCAATGCTCAGCTCACAAGCCTACATCATCCAGGCTCTCACACGACAATTTGCCATAAATATACAAAAACATGACATAAAACTGTACACAGCAACTTGACAAACCTGATCCATTGTGCAGTGCTCTGAAGGGGGAATGACATAGCACTGAGAGCAAAGGGACGGGTAACTCAAGAGCATCAGAAATGAAACAAACACTTATTAAACATGTACACTGTCTTTGGCGAATATAGCATTGATAAAATAATAAAAGGTAACATGGTAATCTAATAATGTTAGATCTTAGCAGTTAACACAGCAGTTTCACCTCATGGAAAGTATCTGACCTCTCAGCATTAGGATTCGTTCACTCGATGGTAGGCAGGAACTTTTTTTATTTAACCAATCGCTGCTATTTGGTCGTGACGTATGTAATGCACCAAATCCCGTAGGAAGAAAAGCAATAACCTCTTTCCGCTTGATAAAATTCACCAAACATTCTCTTCGTTCCGGCTCGGGAATCATTGCCAACACAGAACGTATGTCTTCGTTTACATCCATCTCGACCGCTTTGTTTATTGGGGGACCTCAAAAGGGACCCAGACAGGCACTTGAGTTTGACATCATGGCTTCACAGCTCTTCGCTGATTGGCTGGTGCGCAGTCTACAACTTCTGGGGTTCTTGTCTAGTGTATTCCGATTCCTGACCTAGTCACTGAAGAGAAATGAAATTGAGCGGAGGCACTAGGTGATGCCAGCCTGACTAGTTGACACCCCATGAAATATATATATATATAAAAAAAATAAAAAAAACACTTTAAATGTTATTTTTCCTCCTGCCCTTCAGTATAATGGTCTGCTGGTTAAAACAGTATCATGAACAGTACAACAGCATGTACATGGCCATCACTGCACCAGCTCATTGTATAAGAGCCCAGACAGTGAGTAAAGCGGTCTATTGTGTTCCACTGAGACGGTGACTGTGTTTACTGCAGTATAACAGTATTTCCTATGAAAAACAATGAACATTTTTATGAGTTATATGAACACATGTCTGAGAAAGAGGAGGTTCTGTACATAAAAGTGCCCAGACCATTTCCTCATCTCTATATATGTTTATATACTATATCATATACATTTCCCCTCATAAGTCTGGTCCAGCTGTCACTCTTGCATGTACTGTATATGCAAAAATAATGTTAGCTGTATATAAAATATACAGATTTTCACCTTACGTCAGTGCATTTTTTTTTTTTCTTTTTTGAGTCTAAATGCATTCTCCAGAATCATGTTTCACTCAAATCACTATCTAATGCTTACAACAAACTTGAGTGTTACTGAAACTGAACTGTTTGACATAAGAACACATTTTCAATAAATACATCACTTTTTCATGTGCCTGCATAATTTAAGTAATAACATAATAACAACAACAACAACAACAAAAACAAACTCAAATCTGTCAACTGGACAAGAGTTTTAGAGAAGACGTTTCGCCACCTATCCAGCTGGCTTCTTTAGTTCTGGTCATGTGCTAGTTTGACACTGCCTTATATCTGTCTGAAGGGAAGAGATAATTACAATGACGCTAACACCTATGTGTTTGCAATTTCTGTTATTACTGGAGAAACAAAACAATCACTCCATGTGAGAATGTACCAACATTGGTGCAAGAGCAGCTCAGGACCCCAGTCTGCTGTGCATCTCCATCTCAAAGCAACTAACCTGAAGAAAGAAAAGAGAGGGAATGGTAGGAGAGGGAATTCAAAGAGGCTATTTATGTTAAGAAAAACAATCTTTCACTGAATAGACATAGGGGACTTAGACATCTATCACTCTATCCTCAGACCTAAATCAAAACAAAGAAAACAATAGGGATAGAACTATTTGTTCATAGGTGTGAGATCAGGGACAGTCTACTTGAATGAGTGAAGAAATGTCTTCACAACTTTTGTCCAGCTGACAAAATAGAATATTTATAGTACCTACCTGGACAACTGAGGGATTACACAGACATGATTAAACAATGGTAAACAGCCTAAATAAAGCTTAAAATGGCAAAACAATTGAAGAAGTAAAATTGTATAATAATAAAGTACAGTGTTATCATACTGTCTTAGGGGAATAGTACAGTAGTAATAATAATAGTAGCAGGCAACTAATGATGAGGTCACATTTGATCTATTCATCTTTCTGGAAAGGGGAGGATGAAGCGTGAGATTGACAGGCAGATTGATGCAGCATCAGCAGTGATGCAGTCGCTGTAACAGATTGTTGTGGTGAAGAGGGAGCTGAGTCAAAAAGCAAAGCTCTCGATTTACTGCTCAATCTACATTCCTCCCCTCACCTATGGTCATGAGCTTTGAGTAATGACCAAAAGAACAATATCGCAGATACAAGCAGTCGAAATGAGTTTCCTCCGCAGGGTGGCTGGGTGCTCTCTTAGAGATAGGGTGAG